GTGGGGCCCGACGGGCGCTTCCTCGGCGGGTACATGCAGTTTGCCTACGACGGTGCGGATTACATCGCCCTTGATGAGGACTTGAGCTCCTGGGTCGCAGCGGACACTGCATCCCAGAAGACACAGCGCAAGTGGGTGGAGGCCGACGTAGCAGAGCAGGACAGGGCCTACCTGCAGGGGGAGTGCGTGGAGTGGCTCGGCAGACACCTGGAGCTCGGGAAGGAGAGCCTGCAGCGCGCAGGTACCGGCCCTGGAGACCTCCCATCCGCGCTCTGGCCGGGCAGCTGCCTCCAGGGAGGAAAGCGGGACCCTTCCCGCAGCACCGCGGGCCTCTCCCTGCACGGGAAGAGCGCTCCTGGGACTTCACAGCTGAGAGCAGGTCGCTGTCCTGAGCCCCTTCTCTCAGGAGAGGAGAGTCTGTCCCAGCATGGAGGGAGGACCCCGAGGTGCCCCTCACCCTGCCCTTCAGGAGGCTGTGCCCCTGCCCTCTCTCGGCCTGTCCCAGCCCACACCCGGGGTCTTTGTTCCTGGAATGCCTTCAGGGCACATTTGGCCAGCGGGAGAGTTATGAGGTTTGAACTCCAGCAACCTGAGGCTGACAGCTTTGTGGAAGCAGCCACTTAAAGGACTGAGCTAGGCTCAGGCCCCCCACCCGGGGTCTTTGGAGGTCTCGCTCCACCTATTCTGGTCTCTCAGTCTCCACCCTCTCAGGATGACAGAGGTCCCTTTCCCTCCCCAGACACCTGGAGCCTCCTCCCTTGGGTCCCCTCACCCCAAGTCTAGAACTGTCTGAGCAATAGATTATCCCAGACACCTGTGTCCAGCCTGGCCTCGGATTTGCAGTCCCCCAACCCTCCTTGTCCTGTCCATTACCAGGACGGTCACATGAGTGCTTCTGCAGCGGCCCAGGAAGAAAGCAAAGTGCCTGAATGTTCCCCTCTTCCCTCAGATCCCCCAGAGACACATGTGACCCACCACCCCATCTCCAAGGAAGAAGTCACCCTGAGGTGCTGGGCCCTGGGCTTCTACCCTGAGGAGATCACCATGACCTGGCAGAGGGATGGGCAGGACCTGACCCAGGACATGGAGCTGGTGGAGACCAGGCCCGATGGGAGTGGAACCTTCCAGAAGTGGGTGGCTGTGGTGGTGCCTTCTGGAGAGGAGCAGAAGTACACGTGCCGTGTGCAGCATGAGGGGCTGCCTGAGCCCCGCACCCTGACATGGGGTAAGGAGGGCGTTATTCATGGCTGGTACTTAGGGCATCCCCAAAGTCTCACATGCTCCCAGGTGGAATTTTTCAAAGGTGCTGGAATAAGAGTGAATGTAGACTCTATTCCACTAATGGAGTCAGCATCACTCTGGATGTGGCCCAGTGTATTAAGGAAGACATCAGGCACAGCCTGGGTGTAAGTGGGTTTCCACCAGCAGGCTCACAGCCCGAATATGATTAAGAACTCAGGCTTCCTCCCTCCAAGCCATGGGCTGTTTCTCCTCTGTGATGCCCCTGCCTGGCCTCCCTGCCTCAAAGTCTCCTGACTATGGACTGAATCTCTATAAACTGAGCAAAAATGAACCTTTCCTCCCTTAACCTGTAAGTGTGGGGTATTTTGTCTCAGCAGTGAGAAAGTAACTAAGCAAGAGGGGGAGGGGACAGAGCGCTCGTGTATTGGTCAGAAGTCTTTCAGGAGACTCACTTTGCCAGGCACCAGAGCTGCCATGAGAGCCCTTAGTCGTTGTGTCATTGCTGTGACGCAGTGTCTGATATCTGCACAGTAAAGAAGAAGGAGTTTCTTTTGGCTCCCAAGTCTGTAGAGGTTTCAGTCAGAAGTCATCTTGGGGGCTGGTGAGATGGCTCAGTGGTCTAAAGCACCTACTTGGAACAAGCTTGGCAAAGCACAGGGACCACGGTTCAATCCTCCAGCACCACATGCCAGCCAGCCGCGCCCCCTGGTGGGCTGAGCTGGCCACACACATACACACACACACACACACACACACACACACACACACACACAATAAATGTTTAAATTAAAAAAAAAAAAAAAAAAGAACTCCTGGCCCTGGAGAGCTGCTCACAGCTGGACAGACAGGAAGCAGAGAGCAGTGAGGAGCCCAGGAGAAGGGAAGCCTGACCAGCCACAGCATAGCGGCCCTTCTCTTCCCCACACCCGGTTTCTAATCAACTCAGCGCTGAGCACCACAGCGCAGTCAGCTTCCACATTCCCCACATCTGCTTGAGGCTTTGGGGTCCATGAAGATCTAAAAACTAGCAGTTCCTCACCTCCCTTTCCTTTCTCTCCACTTCCCTTCCCAGAGTCACCTCCTCAGACAGCCATCCCCATCCTGGGGGTTGTGGCCACTGTGATTCTCCTTGTAGTTGTGGTCATTGGATCTGTGGTTGCTTTCATGATGTGGAAGAAGAAGAAGAAAGCAGGTAGGAGTGGGGTCTGCATCTTCCTGTTTCAGCCCCAGGAAGTGTAGCCCCCACACTGTGGGACACTCCATCCTCATAGGTATTTGCCCGGCCTGCAGCCCTGACAGTCACCCTGTTGTGAGACAGGGACAATGAAGGACAGATTTGTCACCTGTGGAGATGGGGACCTGATTCCCAGCAGTCAGGAGCACAGGGGAAGGTCCCTGCTGAGGACAGAGCTTTAGGAGGGCAGTTCGCCCAGGTCCTGAACGTGTCCTTTCCTCATGCCTCCTGATCCTTCCCTGGGTCTGCAGCCCAGATCTGGAAACTTCCCTGGGCTCCAGGCCTGGGCAGGTCTTCAAGGCTGTCAGGGCCCAGCCTCCTCCCTGGCTTCTCACAAGGCATTTGCTTCCCACAGGGCTGAAAGGAGGGATCTATGTTCAGCCTGCAAGTAAGTATGAGGGGCTGATTCCTGAGAGCCTTGAGGTTGCAGTCAGGACTCATGGGGATCCCTACCCCATGATCAACCCCTTCACCATGTCTGCTGTGGGTTTTGATGACATCATGTTATTTTTTCCTCTTAGGTAGTGACAGTTTCCAGAGCTCTGATTCCTCTGATTCATCTTTAATGGCTTATAAAGGTGAGATCTCAGTACTGGGGTGGTGGCACACCCCTGTAATCCCAGAGCTTGGGAGGCTGAACATAGGTGGATCACTATGAGTCCAATCTACATAATGAGACCCTGTAGACCCTGTACTAAATTTAAAAAAAAAAAAAGGTGAGACCCCAGCGGGCCTGAAGTGTGGGGTGAGGCCGAGCACACAGCACGGCCCCTGTCTGCACCTGACCCTGCGTGAGCAGTGGCTCCTTTGTCAGTGTTTCTTAGCACACGTCTGCTGTACACGCTGCTCCTGCTCCTCCTGGGGAGTCGGTGCACACGGAACCCGTCTCTGCCTTTCGCTTCACCCTGCCCGCCGCTCCACCCCCGGCCTCCATCTCTAGTTACCCTCCTGCGTGCAGACAGCCTCTCTTTCCTGTCAGAAGGGGGTTCTTCAGAGTGGTGCACGTAGAGCCCTGTCCCTGAATTTATGACTCCTCTGTCCTGCAGCGTGACACAGCTGCCTTGGGGTGACTGAGCCACACCCGACTTCTCCAGCCCAGGCCTTGTGACCTCAAGAACACCCAAATCCTCTCTTTGCAAAGGCTTCTGAGTGTGTCCACGGACCTGTCAGTGTTGGGGAGGATGTGGAGAGCGCAGCCCGGGCCTGGCCGCCAGGACTCCTTTGCCCACGCTGACCCGTGTCCCTTCCTCATCAGCCGTCCTGTCCCAGCAGTCATGGGCTGGGAAGGCTCCAGCCATGTCATGGTGCCCTGAGCTGCCCCTCCTTCTGTGCTGTCCTGAGAACTGTCCCCAGCCTGGCCAGTGAGCCCCGTCCTGTAGTGGGTGCTGGTCAGCTGTGCGGTAGCCTCCCTGGACTGAAGCTGTGTGTGGACTCCAGCCCAGCAGGGTCGCTTACCCAGGCCGGGAGACAGCGCCTGCTGTCCCCAGGGGGGTTTCTTACCAGGATGAGAGGGCGCAGCTTCCCAGGACCCCGCCTGCTTGGGATCCAGCTTTTATTTGAGTAATAGCCCTGCAATAAATGCAGCAGCTTAACAAGGCGGGGTTGTGTGTGCAGTGCTGCAGGGCTTCTGCTGTCTGCTCGTGACAAGGGGGTGCCTTGGACGCTAGTCTATTACAGGTGCAAGGCTTTCTTCACATTTCCAGGAAATGCACATAACACACGCTGAATGGAAGACTCAGAATATACGTTTGGGTTTTTTTCAAAGTCATGACATGAGTTGACCAGCTCATTGAAGACTTCCAGCATTTGAGGGCAGCAATGAGTGGGAGCAACGAGAACCTTTCCCCACCTGTTTCATTGTCCTTTCTGTCCCTTGCACGTAGGAACAGGAGACAGACACAAGGAACCAGGCTGGATCTTAAGTTTTTAGCAAATCCCTTCAAACACACAGAATTATGTTGATGCAGAGTAGTTGGGCATTTGTTCCTCACTTTGATGCAATCAGTGAACTATCACAGGCCACCCCTTGGTGACCTGAGGGACAGACACATTTCCTTACACCACACCTTGTCTCCACACTCAAGGACAAGTCATAGTCACACCCAACATGTTACAACTCTCATGTACAAACGACAGCAATTCCCCTCACACAATCCAGGGAAAGTTCTCTTGGTTTGTTTTGGTTTTGTTTTTGTTTTGTGTTTTTTTTTTCCTTTGGTTTTTGCAGGACTAAAAGTTCTCTTGGGATATTGCTTACTCCAACATTCTATAACACTCTAACACAGGTTTAACAGTACTTATCCTGGGGCCAGGGAGATGGCTCAGTAGAATGAGCACTTTACAGGTGAGCGCAAGGGCCTGAGTTCAATCCCTGGTTCTGCAACAAAGTGCTTATCCAACATTAAGTCTATCAACATGTTATGTAGACTGTATATCAGGTGAGCACTATTGAAATTACAACCCTCGTTCCTGTGGCTGCTCACAAGGTCAGAGCTTGTATTTCCAGCTGCCTTCTCCACGGTGCATTGTGTGCTCCCTTGGCATTCGTGAAGCACCTCGGCAAGTTCTGGTTTTTTCCATGGGGAACTGGCCATGCATGCATTCCTGAAGCTTGTGGAATGTTTGTCACCCCGCCTGGATTGAGTTGTAGCTATCCATTGACCTTAATAACAGCCTGTAGTACTAGTAGATGCCCTAAGGTCCGTTCTGCACTCCCAAGCACCTTACACCTTTCTTCCACTACGGCGCAAGTCTGATTTCCCGCTAATACGCTGGATCAGTCACGCCTGCCATCCCTGCAAGGCTTCAGCTTGGTTAGGCATGAAACACTGGCCAGCGGGTGTGTTAGCGTCAAGGTCATTTTTGTGCTCCCTGATAAGGACGGCTTCTAGACCAGCAGAACGTCAGCTTGGGGGTTCAGAAGCAACAGTGCTGCCGGGGAGCATGGCACATGGTAACATTCCTTGTACCCTCTGATTTCTAGACACTTGTATGCTGCTGTGGGTGACAGCGGGCTGTATAGTGTAAGATGATTCAAAGCATATGCAGCCTTTTGAAGAGCTACCCTAGCCACACAAGGTACCGCCACTCGTGAGTTGTGACTCATCAGAAGGCCATTCTGCCTTTCTAGCCAGCTGCAAGGGTTGTGAGGAACTTCAGAAGACCAACGAAATCCACAAGCATGAGCTAACTGCCTCATGTCTTTGGTCATAAAATTCATTCTTTAGTCAGAGGCAATTTTGTTTTAAAAACCACAAGAATGGATAAGGCACTGTGTGACTCCGTGGGTGGGAGCTGTAGCAGAAGCATTCCATGTGGGGAAGGTAAGTCCATGCCCAGGATGAGAGTCTGCCAGTGAGGACAGTGTGCTGCCCTTTCCCTGACGGTAGTGGTCCAGTCTAGTCAGCCTGCCATCAGGCCACAGGCTGATCACCTCAGGGAACGGTGTCACGTCAGAACTCAGGGCTGGAGTGTGCTGCTGGCACACTGGGCATGCAGCAGTGCCTATAGCCAGATCAGCCTCGGTGAGCGAGAGTCTGTGTTGCCGCGCCCACGTGTAACCTCCATCACTACCACCATAGGCACCTCGTTCATGGGCCTGTTGGGCAACGACAGTGGTGGGTAAGGAAAGAGTGTACTGTCATCTGCAGGTCCTCCTATCCAGCCGAGTCACTCTTTGGTGAGTGCTTCCACAGAATGCATATGTATTTACATCCATCGTCCATATAGAGAGGTCTGCCCACTTACCTCTTCCCCAAATATCTTGGCCACCAATTTTTCAGTTACGTTCCTGCCAAGGTCCTGACCATTTGGCCAGAGCATTGGCTACAGCCTATGAGTCAGAGAGTCCTACATCTGGCCATTTCCCTTGCAAGGCAAATGTACTGCCAGGAGCACTACCCATTTTCCCCACTGCGTTGAATTCCCCTCACTACTCTTTCAGGGATGTCTTGGAAAGGGGCTGTAATTCTGGAATTGCACTCTTGCATGTGGGAGCTACAGAATATAGAGACCCATTCATCAACCAGGCCCTAGCCTTCTCTTCCTGACCACAGATATGGTCCACTTCATGGGCGACAGAAAGCAATATGGCCAGAGTAGGAGCCACAGACATCTGGGCACCTTCATATAGTTTACTTGTGACCTCTGGATGTGTTCTGGCCCAGTCATTCATATATCACTTCTTTTATTTGGCCCTTTATTTGTATTTGAGCTACCTCTTTCTTCTTTCTTTCTTTCTTTCTTTCTTTCTTTCTTTCTTTCTTTCTTTCTTTCTTTCTTTCTTTTTGTGGAACTGGGGATTAAACTCAGGCCCTTGCACTTGCCAGGCAAGCACTTATTCTACTGAGCCATCTCCCTGGCCCCGCCCTCTTCTTTAAATCCAGTAAATGTGACTAAGCTTAAACTAGAATGAAATCACCCAGCTAATGCTGATGTCCATAGAGCAAAGCGAGAAGCATCCCCAGAGAGCCTGGAGGAGGAGCAGAGGAAACGTTGACAGCAAGGAGCAGTCACCCCATCACCTGGTGGCCTTCTGTCCTGGCTGTTTTTGCTGTGCTCTGAGTTTCTACTTAAGGTAGTGAGTGATGGGATGGCTTCCCCTACATCCTTACGAGTCTGTGTGTCACTCAGGGTCTGGGTGACTTTTGCACCCTCTTCTGCCTTCCCCTACTTTCTTGTCCAGGCTCTAGGCTTGCTTTTGCTTACGACCTGGACAGTTAGGAGCCTGAAAGAAGCAGAAGCACACAGTGTGAATCTGTCCACTGCCAATGGGGCTCTAGCCTTGGCCACCCTAGAGGGAAGCTCCTTTCCCCATTAGACATGGAGTTTCACAATTTTGTACATTATTATTGTGCAGTTGGAATAATCCATTTGGAGTGACATCATATAGGAAATCAGGCCCAAGTTGAGCAGCTCTGCATATTGGAAGTGTGTATGTGTGTGTGTGAGTGAGTGTAATTATAAAACAAATTTGTTCCTCATTCTTCTCTTTTTTGCAGAACCAGGGATTAAACTCAGGCCCATGTGCTTGCCAGGGAAGCATTTATTACACTGAGCCTTCTCCCTGGCCCCTAGTCCACATTTTTTT